GGAGACACTCAGACAAACAGACTGAGGGTCACATGACAGAGGAAAGCCTCCAATCTCTTGCTAAGCAATATTGGTTGCAGTAATATGTGCTATTTTTTTTTTTTTTTGACTACTCTAAAACGAGTAAACGCTCCCCAGAAGACAATGCATTATGTCCATTACTTTCCTTCATGCCTTAGGTTTTTCCCATACCGCTGATCATGCTGGGATGTACATTAGCTACCTTATGAAGCACGTTTTTATGACAAAATTCTGTAAATGTTAAGTTAGAATTTAGATATACATATGATTAGAATTTGTTATCCTTTTATCACACGACATCACTACAGCAGCTTTATGCTTGGTCTGTGCTGTGCTCAACATCAGGAATTTAAATAATGGCTAACAGTTATAGAAGACCTGCAGGATAAAAAAAAAACTAAATCATTAAAAGACTAACCAGTTTTGATTTTCACTGTTGTGTATATGTTAGAAAAAGACAAAGTCCCAGGCTGTAAATTAATTTCATGCACTAAGAGTCACGTCGTATAAGAATTTGCATTGTAGAAATGAATTAAAAAGGATTAAAGTCTTTCAAAATCTGATCAAGAAGAGGCTGTTTGTATAAATATTCATAATCATACAGTGATTATACCCCAGACTGTCACTGTTCTCCATTTTGTGTTTCATGACTGCTTTTGCTGGCCATTTTCATATATCTCCCTGGAATGTATTTATTTGGTCTTATGATTGTTCAATTTAAATCTTTTCACCCACAGAACAAGCATAATGGCCACCTGACCCTACACTAATTAGAACAATAATGAGTGGATAATATACAAATACTTTCAGCTTGTGTGACTGTACTGAAGAGACCAATCAGGGACAGATGGATGTACACTGACATTGAGTGGAGGTTCAAATAATCTGAATTGGCCCCCATGTTGCACTAATAGAATAAGTGTTTGGCTTTGCATAGAACTGCCTTAATGTACTGTATTTCCTGCTCTTAGTTTGATTTGTTTTTACTCGCACAAGAGAATGCTCTCCTAATATTCCTAATTTCATGTCTCTTGGATGCTATAATTATTGATTGAATGCATATGCATCCCCCCTATGTGGCTGCACTCAAAGCCTGTACTGTCATAAATTAGTTATATTAGTCCCATGATATTTCTGTTGCAGGCATGCCACCCCCATATTACTAATCCCCATATTACTAATCACCAGAGGGAAACCATTAAGGATGGCTCTAATAGCTGTGAAAATTAACATCTTAGGGTTCGTTAAGCTGCTGTAGTAACTTCTGCAATCTCTGACAAAGCGTCATAGGTATGCTTAAATGTACGAGCAATCAATAAATGCAGCACAGTTTGCTCTGTTCCTTATCCTAATTGTGTTTTATTAGAATGAATGTGACTTGAAAAGAAAGCAGTAGATGAAGATGCTTACAACACATTTTTGTTTATCCTCTATTAATTTGAATCAAACTGAGCACATTGATATACAGAACAGTAGATGGATCACACTTAGGGGCAGCCGGTGTCAGCTGGACTCGGGCACAGCGATTTGTGGGTAATTCCAGGAACAGAATTTGAGGAAGAGGTCAGGAATTCAGTATATGGAACATGTCTGGAGAACCAACTGGATCATGAAACTGTAGAAACATCATGCTTTGGAGATGTTTTTCTGTGACTGGGGCTGGGAGACAAGTCAGGATAAAGGGAAGGATGGATGCAAAAAAATGTAGAGCAATTCTGAATAAAAACCTTCTCCAGAGTGCTCAGGATCTCGGGCTGGACCTTCAAGAAAGCACAGGAGTGGCTTCAGGAAAGGTCTGTGAAAATCCTGGAGTGGCCCAGCCAGACTCTGGACCTGAACCCAATAGAGCGTCTCTGGAGAGACCTAAAAATGGCTGTGGACCAATGTTCCCCATCCAGCCTGGCTGACCTTGAATGATTCTGCCAAGAAGAATGGAAGAAAATTCCAGAAAAAATGTGCCAAGCTTGTAGCTTCATTCTCAAGAAGACTTGAGGCCGTCATTGCTGCCCAAGTTGCTTTGACCACATACTAAGTGAATTGTCTGAATGCTTATGTAAATAAGACCGCCTAGTCTTTTACGGTTAATGCATTTACAAAACACTCCAAAAACTTGTTTTCACTTTATCACTTTGAAAGATTGTGTGTAGATTGATGTTGAAAAATTAAACTGAGTCTATTTTAAGATGGATCTGAAACATAACAAAATGTGGAATGACAAATGTTTTATTGATCACAGAGGAGTGAAGTGTCTTCTGCTTATTGTATCTCTGCCCCCTCTTTTTTCTCCTTACTGTCATTCATTGCCCAATTTCCAGTGTGAAGGGTAAGCCCAGTGGCCTGCAGAGCATTTCATCAGTAAACCAGCTCTAAACAATAATATCCTGTTCAATACAGCTCAGTGCAGCCCTCAGCTGTCAACACATCACCCAGAAAGAATGAATAAATAAGTAATTGCAAAGCCTTGGGGCACCCAGCCTGTTTTGGACTTCCCCTAATCAGCCGCTGTCCATCACGGCTGCCCCCGCTCTCTGCTGTGCTGCTGCTGACTCGGCTCATCCAGAGAACAGGAACAGTAGCCGCCCACCCGCCTCCACCAGTGCTGCCACCGTCAAACTGCTCTCTGTGAATATACACAAATTAGCTGAGTTAGTAGGGCATGCTCCGGGGCATCATTTAATTGGCAGACACTGAATGACATCTTCCGCTCCGGTTCTTTGTCATCTGGCAGCAAAAGAGAAATGTACAAACTGAGGCGGAAATTCTGGAAATCATTTTGGCTTGAACCAGCAGATGTTACCCTTCAATACCACAAACTGTTGCATATTATAGTATTTTCATATACAGTATGTTTCATACATCGACAGCATTTATTTCTCATGCTCTGTGCAGCCTCTTGGTTTACTGCAGCTATCCAATATCTTTACTACATGCATATCAAGGTTAAATGTTCAAGCTTCCTGTTGGCTATCTTGCTTCTATTCCTCACTGACTTATTGATCAGATTTGCTGCATCATAATATTTGGCATGGCAAGCTTCTGGTAAACTCCATAAGTACCCCAGGCCTGCAGTTTTTCCAACTCAGACTGAAGTGAGATCAGTGGAGATACAATATATTCATTAAATACAATGTGGTTTTTAAACACAAGATGTTGGGTCCTAATAATTTAACTTTCACAACTGTGCTCACCTTACTCCTAATTTTTGTAATTTATTATGTAAATATTATGACTTAAAAAAGAAAAATGCTACAGTTTGTGGGCCAAATTGCAGACACAAAATAGGAGTGTAGTGATTTACACAGTGATTTAGTGAAAACAGGCTACAGAACTACTGAAACAGGAAAATGAAGACGTGTGTAAAGCAAAGGCAAACTGAAGGACATGACTAAATAACTAAAGAAACACAAGTAAATTATAATAGGGACAATAAGGCTAATACTGTAAACCCACAATACAGTGCATAAAACAAAAGAAAGCTACACCTGAGCACAGAAACATAAAAATAGTAAAATAAACCACAAAAAAGAAAAAAATAATGTAATGGAACAAAACAGCACTTAAACAATGAAGGATGTCCATAACAAAAACAGCACAAGGGCTGAGCCCAAACAGTCAAAACAATGTGCACAGGAACAGAGACTGGAAGGTTTTGGGAGATGATGTTCACAAGCAAGAACAAAGCAGGTGATACAGGAGGTGAGGTGAATTTAGAGGCTGAGCCAGGGAAGTGAACGAGCAACAGGTGAAAGCAATTGAAGACAATCAGTGGCTATGTAAAGCTGGTGCTGGTGAGAAAGCAAGAGACGAAAATAATTTCAAAATAAGAGCACAAAACAGGAAGTTGGACCAAAATCATGACACCACCTTAAGCTTCCATAACCAGCTTTTTGCTGGTTATGGAAGCTTAAGGTGGTGGCAGCAGTGAGTGGGAAACAGAGAACTCTGTGTGATGTCACAGACAGGCTCATCAATACATACAAATTCCTATTTTTCCTACACTGTCCTTTTCACTCAAGCACCCTGTTCTGTCGCTACATATTTCAGTATTTTTTTAGCATGTGATGTTCTGTAAGTTGTGTAAATGCACCTTCAAGACATGATGAAAGTTTCCAGTATTTCTGTTCTAATAATTTCTAACAATTTTTTACTTAGCTTTTTGTAAAAGCGCACTGCAATATGGAACGATAATGGGCATTCTACACAACATCAAACTGTCTTTATAAACCACTGACATTGGGAAGAAAAAAAGACTAAGAATGAATGAAGGTGGACTGTTAAACACTCGAAATGTGCACCTGGTCTACAAGTACTATGTTTCAGATTTTCTCATTCATAGACCTCCCTGGACATAACCTGTAATTTTGTATAACTAAAGTGTAACCACCTATCATGACTTGATGAGCTAATTAAGAGGCAGTTAGCTGATTGTGGGAGCTGCAGAATGGATGCACAGCCAGATCAGGGATTGCATGTGCTCAGCTATTTGTCACTAAGGGTTCAAGCTGGGCTGAACTCATAGTGTGTATGGGGACAGAGCTGTCCTCTATACAGAAAGAGGAAAACCCACATTAATGGAGGTAAAGGCTTTTCTTCCTTTGTGTCCCTTCATCCCTCTATCCAGCTCTCCTTCATTTGTGTCACATGTTCTTGATGAGAAACAATAAACTGACCCCCTTCCCCTCACCCTGAGGTGCCTTCTTTGGGGAGACGGAGGGGCCTCTGAAAGACAGGGAGTGCAAGTGTGTGTGACACATTGTGTGAAAGTGTATTACTGTGTGGGACTGAGTAATTAAGTGTGTGATATTACGTGTATGTCAGTGTGTGTGTGCAATGGCCTGCTTGCAAGTTCACCCGCCTGTGCATGCAATTGCATGTGTAAGTGTGATGTGAAGTGTGAGTGTGTGCGATCTGTTTCCAATTAGCACTCTTGTGTCCCTGGTAGCCTGGAGGCATGACTAATGTCTTGGTGGGCTTAAGCCTCAGCTAATGTCTTTGAAAGGGCCCCCATCTGCTGCAAGAACATCACAAAGAGAAGCTGGACAATCGGAGACAGGAGGAACGCTACAAGAACTACAGGCGACGAGCATCATGGGAATGTCGGCAAAGAAGGGAATGAGCTATTAGGGACAAAGTGTGCTCGGGGGCCCATCTTCACAGATACATATTGAAGAATGTTATTAGAGCATAATCAGAAGGGTGAAAACACACGCGTGTATGTGTAACTTATCAAGTGTATTCTACAGTAAATGACCCAGACAGATTGTTTTATTTCACATTAAGTGTCATATTCAAAGTTATGTTGTCTTACAAATTTTATTAAACACATCCATGTCTTTTATTTATCCATCTTGATGGCATGTATTCTTTTGTCAAATTCTTCTTCTGCCAAGCTTCTTGAAACTTGGACCCATCTTTTCAGTCTGTAATACAGATTACTGATTGAGTTTAAAGCATATTTATTTAAAAAGAAACCATGTTTTAAAAATAGACTCTCTGTTTGACATTTGCTGTAAAGTTAAACTCAGATCCCACGAATTGCTTTTTGATTGACCCCTGTGTTGATTTTATCATTAATAAAATAAAATCTGAGTGTAAGAATCCCACCCCATGCAGATTTGCTGCACAGTACTCAGACTTACTCATCTATACAGTAGACCTGTTTTTCCAACAAAAGAAAACAGCTTACCTATAAATAAGAAAGAGGTGTTGTGATAATGGATTCACAAAATAAACAAACAAACAAACAAAAAACTTTGCCTTTTTTTAAGACAGTGTAGAGTGTACCATTTTCACAATGGAACTGACAGAAGGCGTCAGGCACGACGATCAATCGTTTTATCTTGTATGTCATAGTAATCGATAACAGAGAGGATTTTATGTTTGTTAATAAATGTATCTAATCTGTTATTAAAGAGTTTTTCCAGAATTTTTGAAAATTGTGTCAACAGAGAAACTGGTCTATAATTTGTGAAGTTGTGCTTATCACCAGATTTATACAGTGGAATAACCTTTGCTATTTTCATATTTTTGGGGAACTGCCCAAGTCGAAACGACATGTTAAAAACATGGGTTAATGGTTTGCATATCCCCTCAATTGCCCATTCAACCATTGTCATA